CACAGAAACAGTACTATATAACATTTTAGACACATTCTAGACAGTTTATCAGCTAAAAAAAAGTTAATTTCGGGGTAAGTTACTCTTTAATGTAAAAAAAAATTGCATCACTTCTGAAAAAAAACCCACAAAGTTAGGATCAAAAGCCGCATCTCAGCTCCTAATCATCGTACCATGGTCAATGCCAATGGTCATCTTGTATTTTGACATGCTAACCCAGATTTTGAAAGGAACCTTTCTCACTCCTAGATGCACACCAAAATGAAAGTTGTGTATTTTTTAAGTTATGCAAAGAAARGCAGGTTTGCATGTATCAGTTCATACAGGGCGGCAGCCATCTGGGACAACCCAGTTTTTGATAAGGACCATTCTTACACCTAGATGCAGCCACACACTGAATTAGAAGTTGGCACCTCACTTATTTTCAAGTTGTCCAGCTCTTAAGAGGGACAGACAAACAAACGGAGGATATTTCCAGTTTCCTTTTTGCTCTGCAATAAGGAACAATTAAAGATCCAACACTCCTTAAAGGACCACATAACCTCTGCTGCCATTCATGCCAGAGTTTTGGACTAAGATCGAGTTATAAGTCATGTGTTGATTTTGGCTGTTCCCTTCTTCAGGGGTCACCACAGTTAACAAAATTGCACAAAAGATGTAGATATTTTGTCCTGCCGGATRYCCTTCCTGACACAACTTGGGCTTTACCCTGCAAGTTATAATTGTTTCTATGTTGGCTAATGCTGGTTAGCTGTGGAGGCCATCTTAATCAGTTGTAGTATCCAAAGATTCATTTCTGAAAGTTCAACAGTTAATGTCAGTTTTAAGCAAAAAATCTTGTGTGATGAGAAATATTTTGTGTTGTGAATGACTCTCAGCTAAAACAAACTTAGAACAAAACCTGTAAAAATTACTGTAGCCATTTTTGTCTTCTCTAAGATCATCTGGCTGTGTTGGCCTTACTGGCTCCAAAGGTCAGTCATACAGTATATAAATACATACATACATATATACATCTATACATACTTGCATGCATACATACATACATACATACATACATACATATACTG